ATTGGTTTTATGTTCTCTTGGCTTTGAAAAAGTTGTTATTGCTTTGCTGCCTTCTTTAGATACCTTTGTAGATTCAATCAGTTTATTTTATATTTAGACAAAGACTGCTACTGACAGTTATAAGGGTCCTTCAGCCATTTTGGCTAATAAGCAGGAGGGCAGTGTGGAAAATGTAGTTTAACAGCAGTGACTTTTGCAATCTCTACCATTGGGGGCCTGGCCTTCAAAAACTACAACAATGGCTGTGCTTAGCCACACCCACCTCATCCGTCCCTTGATGCTTATGAAAATTAAAATAACCTTGCCAGACATCCAAACATTATGGAATATTTCTGGGGGGGGGGGGGAGGAGCTGGCTGAGTGTCAGCTGCATTAAGATCACTCTGACCAAAAGGTCATGAGTTCGAAGCCAGCCCGGGTTGGAGTGTGCTTCCAACCAGTTGTGTAGCCTGTTGTCGACCTTTGCAACCTGAAAGACAGTTGCATCTGTCAAGTAGGAAAATTAGGTACCACCTTGTGTGGGGAGGCTAAATTAACTAATTTATGAGGCCATAAAAAAGACTCCAGCAAAGCACTCCAGCAAAATCATGCGGGGAATGCGGAAGTACTTCATCAGTGTCGCAGATGGACGATGAAAGCGACAGCTCCCCTGGCGGCCAGAAAAAGTTAAATAGCCTCTGTGTATATCTGTATACGTTGTATGTCAAATTGGCATTGAATGTTTGCCATATATGTGTACACTGTAATCCGCCCTGAGTCCCCTGCGGGGTGAGAAGGGCAGAATATAAATATTGTAAATAAATAAAAATAAATAAATAAATAAGTGGTTCTACTTTGGATTTCCCCCCCCCCCCCCCACACACACACACACACACCTTTGCTACATGGTTCAACACCGGTTTGAAGGTCAAAATTCAGAATTTTTTTATGACTTTCAGGTTCTCTGAAACCATATTGGACACCAGTGCTATACCAAGTAGGCAAAAACCACAAAGACTATAGCATCTGTAGTTGTCATGGTCAGTAACAAATGTATCCTAGGACACTTGCAGTCTTGTATTATGTTGAGAAACAAGTACAGATGACTGTTCTACACTTATGGCATTTTCCTAACTGTTAAAGAGTAAAAGCTGTATAGCCTGTGCATCTGTTCCTGGTTTGCATATCTGCAGTAATTATAGCACTTATAGTCAACATACTGTATTTACTCAAGTATAATATACCATCAATTGTAATGCACCTCAATTTTGAAGGTGTGCATTGCAAAAAGAAAGAAAGAAAGAAAGGTTTTGTTGTCAAATATAAGGTATGACTTCTCCTTTGCTGTCAGCTGTTCCACTGTCTGCCTCAGAACAGCCAACAGGTAAGGGGAAGCCATGTTTTTCTGTCAAGCCAATGCTTCCCAATTGGCCTCATTCATTGGACTTTCAAAACCCTGAGTGAATGAGGCCAATTGGAAAGCCATGCCCTTCCATCATGTCAAGACTGGTGAATTCTAATGTGCACCTCACTTTTGGCTATATAATTTAGTCTTAAAAGGTGAGCATTAAATTTGAGTTGATATGGCAATTTAAATAAAGTCTTGATTTTTAGATACACCCTCAGCAAACTTTGCCCTGAGAATATCATCACTCATTTCTTAACCAAAAATTGGTCTCTTGAGATTTGGGAAGCTTGGTTAGGAAGAGTAACATAGAGGTAAGTATTTATCTGGCAACACCTACCTGTTAGGTCTTAGGCTGGTTGTTACAGCATCTTATCAAAACCAGTAAATCATAATAAATTTAATTCTTTTCAATGACTTGGTGACAACTACTTGAGATCAACATGGGCCTTGATGTCTGAATCTCTTGTTCTTGTAGAAGTCGTATATAGTGTATTGTCAGCTCACAGTAGCTGATTCCAAATGAAGACACAGGACCACACTCTGGTATCACTAAGAACTTTACTACAGGAAACATAGACATGCAAAAAGCCGAGAGTGCCTGGCGCTGGTTGGCACCCTCTTATATACCCTCCCTTACATTCAAAGATGTAACTCCCGCCAAGACAAAACCCTGCGTAATTCACCCACCCAAACTGCTAGCCGTTCCCTCTCAGGGTCAACCGCCACAGGTGTCTTATCAGTGTTCTACGTCAGGGGCCCTGATTTCTGGCACCAGAATTAAGGCCCTGAAAACTGGGTCCTGACAGTGTATTATTAATAAAAATTATTAGAAAATAATCTTATGCTTGTGAATACCTTTGTATAATGCCTAGATATTCAATGCACTACTTGATTCTAAGAAAATATAAAAATATCCTATCATTTAATACTATCACAAGCTCCTCATTAATGATTTCTCCTTGAAAATGCAGACTAAGGAAAAAGTTCAAGTAGCAGTTACAGACACAAGGAGTACAGAAATTAGAACAGAACCAAATGAAAAATCAAGGGGGTAACCAACACATATACAAGATGCTGAAAAACAGAAGGACTGTGTGCTCTGACAGTACCATGCTTAGCTGTAAACCTAAACACATTTAGGGCCTCATCACACCAAGGTCTTGAAGCCAGGTGATAGTGGGGGTATTCACCAGGCAGTCTTAGGGCTTGTGAGAAGGACGAAGTTGAAAGGGGCTTTCGCCAGCATCTGAATCAAACATAGAGAAACCTGACATTGAAAACTTACAGCAGCCTCAAGGAAGTAGAGATACAGAGTGAGAGCAGGATCATGAGCTTCAGGAAACAGAACAGGAGCTAAGAATTCCAGCTAGGCTACAGTAAGTACTATGCCATTCAACTGGAGAGATCTAGTCTGTTGGCTCAGAGGAGGGACAACAGGTGAGAGCACTCGGGAAAGTGACATACATAGCTGGAGGCTGGATCAGTTAGCGGTTGGGAGTCATGTTGGAATAACTGTTACAATGGGAACCTCTGCTGGTGAAATTTTGATTTTGGTGAGTGGATTACGTTTTGGATTACGGTTTCTGTGTTTGGTGAGATTGCTTGGGAATAATGTTGGTATAACTGTTACAGCTGGAACCTCTGCTGGTGAAGTTTTGATGGAATCTTGATTTTGGTGAGTGGATTATATTTTAGTTTTCAGCTTTTGTGTTTGGTTAGATTGCTTGGTATTGCAGTTATTGGAAAAACCTCTGGACTACTCCCATGCTTCACCCTTGTTTGAATTTACTACTGTGTATGACCCTGGACTGCCTTTTGACTATGAGACGGCGAGTGGCTGTTTTAGCAATAATTCTGAGAGGAATTTGACAGGCAGTGTGGTGAATCAGTGGGGCAATGGGAGAAACAGTTGCCCCACTCCCCACATCACAGGCTGCTTTCTCCATTACACAGAAGAAAGTGTCACTGCCCTGCTCCTCTCACCTCCTGCTGTCCCCATTCTATCTAATGAGAACACGGGAAGTCTCCCATGTTCTCTAGGAAGCATCCTAGAATGCTTCCAGCACCCCACTGGAAGTGTCCATGTATTGTATGATGGGCTCCAGCAAGTCCGTCTTAGAAGTGTCCTAGGATGCTTTCTGAAGTCAATGTGATGAGGTCCTTACTTGGAATCAAGTTCTACTGAATTTAGTAGGACTAACATATGAGTAGACTTGGATAGGCCCACACTGTGATATAACAGCAACAAGAATAGCTGAATGGAAGTAATACTGCAGTTTAAAAAACCTCATATTTTAGGTCAGTGTTAATAAAATGAAAAATCTGAACTGTAGCTTCACATTATTTTGAGTCCACCAACCTGGGAAGAAGAGAAACTCTTCATGATTCAAGCTCTTATCTGCAGTTGTTAAGCAAAATTGCCTTATTTTATAATATAGTAGGGCAAAAATTACCTGTAAGCAAGATCTGACAACTGATACTTCAAGAGTGTGATTTAATGCTTACAATAATCTTGTAACGAATGCCCATCTGGAATACCAGTTAATCATTAACATATGTTATTAATCATTTCTTGAAAATGACAAGAAGAATGCTTGCAGCTTTCAGACTGGAGAGATCAGCTTATAGAGGCAACTGGTTGCAAATAACAAAATATAGCATCCGTATCCATGTTTGTGGGCTGCACTAGGTTTTCCAGTTTGATTCTTTGTTATGCTTCCTGCCCAATACAGTGAAAATATAGGGTTAAATATTATTTACAGGTATCCACAGGAGGTCTTGGAAGGTATTCCCCCATCGACACAGTTGTACTGTAATCACTTCTTGTTCACCACTAAAAAGGCATAATTAGATCACATTACAACAAAAATGTGTAATTTCACTAAATGGTGGGAGAGGAAAATCACACGTGTCAAATCATGACTTCTACCATGCCTTCCCTTGTTGCCTTCTGCCCTGATGTGAGCACTAAGGCACTGGTGGACAGAAGCTCCTTCACACAGGTGCCCTGTTTGTGGTATATGCAGGCATGAATTCTTATTATGCAAATATATGTTCTTTGAAGAGTGTTGCAAAACAAAGTGACCAATACTTTCTTTGTGCCAAAATCACTCTCCTTGCATAGTTAACCAATTGGCTTTTGGTGTACTCTTTCTAAAGGCATAGATTCACAGGGAAGATAGGGCCACATGGTGAACTGGGTTATATTTCTGTGATTAGATGCAGAAAAAAACCTGTTTCTTCCTATGGGAGGAAGTTTAGGTACAGTTCCAACAAACTAATGCAAGATCAAGGTAGTTTTTTAAAAAATATGCAAGTAATTTTTTTTTAGAAATGGGAAACTGAAAACAACATTATAATGCAACTATAACAGCAGGCCATTATTTGGATCTTGGAACAACCTGCTTCATTAATTAAGTTTGAAAGATCACTGTTCAAGTTGTAAAGTAGAAAGAAGAACATCCAACCACAAAAAAAGCCCTCTCTCCCCTCCCTCTTCAACATACTAAAAACAGAAAATCCCTTTTCATATGTCAAACTCCTAGTTAGACATTCTCAATTACATTTGTATTTGTGCTATATTGATCTGTGGCATTTGGACTTTGACCTCGTTTGTTTGAACAGTGTTGAGAAGTCAGGCAAGCTGACTAAGAGAGACACCAGTCAGTCCCAGCTTGACAAGATTAATTGAGTCCGATAATGTTGTTCCACTGCTTTGCTGTCTTGTGGGAGTCTTTATCCCTGAAGATTGCTCTTGTGTTCTTTGCTACATTTTTTATGGTTGCTGACTATGTAAGACGGAGACGTTCCAGGGGCTTCCCTCCAGGGCCCATGCCTCTTCCTTTTCTGGGTAATCTGCTTCATCTTGATGCCACTAAGCCTCATTTCTCTACACAAAAGGTAAGTAGGAAAACCAGACTGAGCACCCAGATAGTGCCTATCTCCTTTAAGCCCATCTGAAGGCATCTCCACTATTGAAATAGTTCTGAATATTGCTACATGTTGGTTTGTGCTGTCAAGTAGGCTTTGATGTATAATGACCCTATGAATAACAGCCCTTCCAAAGATACTGTTATTAACTGCAGTGTTTGGTTCTCACAAAATTAGGGCTGCAGATTCCTTTATTCAGTCAATCTTGCTGCAATGTAGTTTTCTTTTCTCCTGCTGCTCATTTCTCATTTTATAATGAAACAATCGAAAGCCAAGTTCTGGGTTCTGTACTTTAAAAGGAATGGCACAAGTTCATAGAAGGGCAGATAAAAAAGACAGAAATTTGGAACATTTGTCATGACCACTTGAAGAAGCATTTAAAAGCTTAAAGTTATTTCATTCACAATGAGAAAGAGTATACCACAGAGCAATACAGAGAAAGGAAGTAGACATACCAACTATATATTTATTTATTTATTTATTTACTTTGCTTATATACCGCTGTATCTCAAGCCCGAAGGTGACTCACAGCGGTTCACAAACAGTAAAAACAGTAGAAACAGCAGTGGTTCCATACAACATATAACAATTGACTTAACACATTATCCATAAATTACCAATAAGCAATTACAATGCACAATTATTACAAAAAACAACCGTACCCAATCTTCTCATCATCCAAGCGTAGTCCAGGTTCGTCGTCCATTGTTCCATTCCTATGTTCCATTACCAGATTGCACTAAATTACTCAAACGCCTGCACAAACATCCAGGTCTTCACCTTTTTGCAGAATACCATTAGAGATGGTGCTAGTCTAATGTCCGTAGGAAGGGCGTTCCACAGCCGAGGAGCCACCACCGAGAAGGCCCTATCTCTCGTCCCCGCCAGCCGAGCTTGAGAAGCAGGCGGGATCGAGAGCAGGGTCTCCCCGGAAGATCTCAAAGTCCTGGTGGGTTCATAGGCAGAGATGCGGTCAGATAGGTAGCTTGGGCCGGAACCGTTTAGGGCTTTAAAGGCCAACGCCAGCACTTTGAATTCAGCCCGGTAGCAGATCGGTAGCCAGTGGAGTTGGCGCAACAGGGGGGTTGTATGCTCCCTGCGCTCCGCTCCTGTTAAAATCATGGCTGCCGAGCGTTGGACTAGTTGGAGCTTCTGAACTGTCTTCAAAGGCAACCCCACATAGAGAGCGTTGCAGTAGTCTAAACGGGATGCAACCAGAGCATGGACTACCGTGGCCAAGTCAGACTTCCCAAGGTACGGGCGCAGCTGGCGCACAAGCTTTAGCTGTGCAAATGCTCCCCTGGTCACCGCCGAAACCTGGGGTTCCAGGCTCAGCGATGAGTCCAGGGTCACACCCAAGCTGCGAACCTGCGTCTTCAGGGGGAGTGCGGCCCCATCCAACACAGGCTGTAACCCTATGCCCTGTTCGGCCTTGCGACTGACCAGGAGTACCTCTGTCTTGTCTGGATTCAATTTCAATTTGTTCGCCCTCATCCAGACCGTCACAGCGGCCAAGCACCGGTTCAGGACCTGGACAGCCTCCTTAGTAGCAGGTGGAAAGGAGTGACAGAGTTGGACATCATCCGCGTACAGATGACACCGTACCCCGAAACTCCGGATTATCTCCCCCAGCGGCTTCATGTAGATGTTAAACAACATGGGAGACAATATTGAGCCCTGAGGAACCCCACAAGACAATGGTTGTGGGGTTGAACAGGTGTCCCCCAACAACACCTTCTGAGATCGACCCTCCAGGAATGACCGGAGCCACTGCAAAACAGTACCTCCAAGACCCATCCCTGCGAGGCGTCCCAGAAGGATACCGTGGTCGATGGTATCGAAGGCCGCTGAGAGGTCCAGCAGCACCAACAGGGACACACTCCCCCTGTCGAGCTCCCGGCGCAGATCATCCACTAAGGCGACCAAGGCTGTCTCGGTACCATGTCCCGGCCTAAAGCCAGACTGTGCCGGTCTAGATAATCAGTGTCTACCAGAAATCCCTGGAGTTGTGAGGCCACCACACGTTCCAAGACTTTGCCCAAGAAGGGGGGATTGGAAACTGGCCGATAGTTGTCGAATTTAGTGGGGTCCAGTGATGGTTTCTTCAACAGCGGTTTTATTATAGCTTGTTTTAAGCTCGCTGGAATCTTGCCTTCCCGAAGGGAAGCATTAACCACCACCTTAACCCACTCAGCCAATCCCCCTCTGGCCTCCTTTAGAAGCCAGGATGGGCAGGGGTCCAGGATGCATGTGGTTGGCCTCATTCCTCCAAATATCTTGTCCACATCCTCGGGTTTCACCAATTGAAATGAATCCATCAAAACTGGACAAGCAGGTGCTCGTGTTACATCCTCAGAGACTGCCATTAACATGGTGTCCAGACCAGAACGGATCAAAGCGACTTTGTCTGCAAAGAACTGAGCAAAAGCTTCACAGCGAGAAGTCGAATCATCAGGGTTCCCACCTTGAGTGGGATTTAAAAGGCCTCTGACAATTCGGAACAGCTCAGCCGGACGGTTCTTTGCAGACGCAATAGTGGCCGCAAAGAAGGCCTTCTTTGCAGCTTTTATTGCCGCGGCATATGCCCTTAAAAAGGACACAAACCGTGTTCGATTTGGCTCACTCGGATCCGAACGCCACACACTCTCTAGTTCCCTCTTCCTTCGCTTCATCGCTGCCAGCTCCTCGGTGAACCAGGGAGCTGGTTTAGCTCGGCTACTTGAGAGGGGACGTTCCGGAGCGATCGTGTCAATTGCCCTAGTCATCTCCCCATTCCAGAGAGTGACCAGGGCCTCGACAGGATCACCTACCGAGGCGGCAGGAAACTCCCCAAGAGCCATCAGGAATCCATCCGGATCCATAAGCTTCCTGGGGCGGACCAACTTAATGGGTCCTCCACCTCTGTGTCATATAATCCTTTAGGATACACAAACTAAGGGAATATTACATTTTAATTCAGTGGTGGTGGTGGTAGAGAGGACAGGGGAAGGTAACATTTGTTTTCTGTTGTCCCAGAAGTGATGATTAAATCTAATGGATGTAATTAACAGGAGATAAGGTTTCAGGTAAAATGAGAAAAATGTTCAATCATAAGAATATTTCATTGATGGAATTAATGCTTACAGAAAGAACTGGCTTCTCTATTCTTCAGACAAATCTGAGTAACCATACTTTGAGAACATTCAAGAATTTCTCCAAAGTGGTAGGTTAGTTAAACATAAATGACCTCCAAGATTTTTTTGATGTCCTTTACTCTACAAGCTCCCTCATTCAAGCACTCCATGAGAACCAAGCACATAAATTTATAAAGAAGCAGAGATTCTGCATTGTGAGGCATCTTGGAGTGTTCCACTTGGACAAAAGCAACACAACTTTCCTTTTGCAGGATGCACTTTTCTCTGCTTAGAGCCAGAAGAAAAATTAACAGCTTTGGAAAATTATTTAACCAAGCCGAAATGGCCAAATGCCAATCTCGAGATGTATCTGATCGAGCACGGGCTAAAGCCTCCCTTAAGGCTTACTCTGTGGCTATACGGATGGCCAGGAAATCATTCACGACCACCCGTATAGCATCTGCAGCAAATAGATCATCGGAGCTGTTCAGGGTCGTGGGAGAACTACTCCACCCACCTGTGGCGGAGGGGGTCGCTGATGACCCTGCAGCTCGGTGTCGCGATTTCGCACACCATTTTGCAGGTAAAGTCGCCCAGATACGTCTTGAGCTTGACTCCAATTCCATCGCAGTGCCAGAAGAGGTGACGGAGGCACCTGCTTGTCCAATCTTGTGGGATTCTTTTAGGCTTGTTCTTCCTGAAACCGTTGAGGAGATTCTTGGGGCTGTGAGGGCGACCACCTCATCTCTAGACCCATGCCCATCTTGGCTCATTAAATCAGCCAGAGGGGGGTTGCTTGACTGGTTTGTACCAATTGTCAATGCATCGTTGGAGCAAGGAATTTTTCCATCTAATTTGAAACAGGCTGTGGTTCGCCCACTCCTCAAAAAAGCTTCCCTTGACTCCACGGTGCTGAGTAACTACAGACCGATCTCCAACCTCCCCTTTTTGGGTAAGGTGCTGGAGCGGGTGGTCGCCTCCCAGCTCCAGAGCTTTTTAGACGGTATCAACTACCTAGATCAGTCACAGTCTGGTTTCAGGCCTGGTCATGGCACCGAGACAGCCTTGGTCGCCTTGGTGGATGACCTCCGCAGAGAGCTGGACAGGGGGAGTGTGACTCTGCTGGTTCTCTTGGACATCTCAGCGGCTTTCGATACCATCGATCATGGTATCCTTCTGGGTCGTCTCTCTCCGGGATGGGCCTTGGGGGCACGGTTTTGTCGTGGCTCCAGTCCTTCCTGGAGGGACGAACTCAGATGGTGAAGCTGGGAGACGCCTGCTCTGACCCCTGGCCTTTGACCTGTGGGGTCCCGCAAGGCTCCATTCTGTCGCCCATGCTTTTTAACATCTACATGAAACCGCTGGGAGAGGTCATCCGGAGTTTTGGAGTTGGGTGCCATCTCTACGCGGATGACACACAACTCTACTACTCCTTTCCACCTAATTCCAAGGAGGCTTCTCAGGTGCTAGACGAGTGCCTGGCCGCTGTGTCGATCTGGATGAGGAGGAACAAGCTGAAGATCAATCCCGACAAGACAGAGGTCCTCCTGGTCGATCGCAAACCTGATCGGGGTATAGGGTGGCAACCTGTGTTGGACGGGGTTACACTCCCCCTGAAGCCACAGGTCCGCAGTTTGGGAGTCCTCTTGGATTCTTCGCTTACACTTGAGGCTCAGGTGTCGGCGGTATCCGGGAGGGCCTTTGCGCAACTGAGACTTGTGCGCCAACTGCGACCATACCTCGTGAAGGCTGATCTGGCCGGGGTGGTCCACGCCTTGGTCACCTCTAGAATGGATTACTGCAATGCGCTCTACGTGGGGCTGCCCTTGAAGACGGCTCGGAAACTGCAATTGGTCCAGCGGGCAGCAGCCAGGATGCTAACTGGAGCTCATTATCAAGAGAGGTCTACCCCTCTGTTTAAGGAGCTCCACTGGCTGCCATTTATTTTCCGAGCCCAATTCAAGGTGCAGGTGCTCACCTACAAAGCCCTAAACGGTTTGGGACCACCCTACCTGCGTGACCGCATCTCCATCTACGAACCCACACGCTCGCTCCGGTCATCTGGGGAGGCCCTGCTCGTGATCCCACCCTACGTCGCAAGCGCGCTTGGTGGGGACACGGGACAGGGCTTTCTCTGTGGCGGCCCCCCGACTTTGGAATGCCCTTCCAAAAGATCTCCGACAGGCCCCTACATTAGCAGTTTTCAGAAGGAATTTGAAAACTTGGTTGTTCCGTTGTGCCTTCTCGGATTAGGAATCCCCATCCCAAGTCCTAGTAGCACTTTAGCACAATTAACATCGCTGCACACCACACTTTTAATTCCTACGCCCCTCCTGCCATCTCAGCACTTTTAACCCCGTACCCCTTTATGCCGGCCGAACCAGTTTTAATATGTCCTGATGTATTGTTATTGCTGTTTTTGCTTAACTGTTGATTTGCTTTGTTATTGCTATGTTATGTTTTCTATTATATTGTGTTTGTGGCTTCGGCCTGTGTAAGCCGCATCGAGTCCTTCGGGAGATGCTCGCGGGGTACAAATAAAGTTAATAATAATAATAATAATATGTCACCTTTTGGGACCTTCAGATAATCCCCAAGAGGTTTTGAAGGCTGTTTTTGTCATAATTGAATCCTCTGGTGTTCACTGACCACTAAATGACTATTTAATCCACACAGAAGAATGGTGGGTCATACATGATTTTGGTCATGCATGAGGGAATCAACACCTCCTCCCTCTGGAATGACCAAAAGTTCATAACATCTTTCTTCAACAGGAAGTCATCAGTATTTATCATCTCTATTACATTCTGCCCCATTCTCCTTGCAGCTTACAGACATATATGGCAATGTCTTCAGCTTGCAGTTAGGAAACCTTCAGTTTGTAATTGTAAGTGGACTAGAACTGGTGAAGGAAGCTCTTATCCATCAAGGTGAAAACTTTCTAGATCGACCAAAATTCCCTATTATATATGACTTTTCTAAGGCATTTGGTGAGTGTTTTTTCCTAAAGTATTTCTCTTTCATTTTTTTTTAATTTTTACAAAGGATCTTTCCTAATGGGGAACAATCTTTAAATTAATTCACCAGATTAAAAGCTGAAGGGCAGTGCTTCGATTATAGTTTGTATTACCTGCAATCATAAATCAGAGTTGTTTTTGTAGGAATACACCAACCTAAAATCTCCAAATGGCTGTTTCTAAACAATTTAGTATACAGTGCCAGCATTTTGAGAATAAACAGTAGTTATTATGTTACAGGTCTTGAATAATTTTAGTTTACAACTCCTTATCCAGCGCATAAACAAAGTATTTTTATATTTCTAAATAAGAACCTATGATTTGCCCATTTTCCCCTCTTAGAATACATAAAAGACTATGACTTTTAAATTTTTCAGATAAGTAAAGAATGTCAGGTGTTTCTTAAAGTAAGCCAACAGCCCAAGAATGATCTCAGGTTATCATGCAAGTAATTATATAAGAGAATGGGTGGTAGGATGTCTGCAGAAGGTGGGGTATACACTAGACCAGTGGTTCTCTACCTTCTTTTTGATCAGGGACTACTTAAACCAGGGACCACTCTCCAAGATAGTACCAAAAAGATTACAAATCAGTTTTTGGTCAATTTTAGATTTGGTTTGGTTATTTGGGGTGATGATTTAGAAAATTGAATTGGATCAGATGGTATACATTCTGATATAGAATGTATACCATCCAGTAGTTGCCATCTGCTCACCCACAGAAAACCATATTTAATATTCTAGATCCGATGTAGTCTATCCCATGCCATTTTCTGAATCAGCACCCCAAATAACCCCAGAAACAGGCCTAAAATCAAAGACACCAAGGCAACCCCGCTTCCAGGCACCACATGGAATGGCTGTGCTCAGGGGAAGGGAAGATGAGGACAAGCAGCATTCAGGAGGCTTGCTGTCATGCCTTTTGTGGATAGTCATCCTCTCCCCTCCCGACACTCCTGTTGACTCGGCAGTAAGAGGGTTTTGCAAGACTTTCATTGCAATGGTGTAGTAACAGTGAGGACACAGACCATATTTTAGTTCTTGGGCACCACTGGTGGCCCATGGACCATAGGTTGGGGACCACTGCACTAGACTCAAGTGTGTCAAACAAAAATGCAGGATACAGATATTTGATTGGGTTACAAAGGCACTAAATGGGTTTCCAAAGAGAATAAAAAAGCTAAATTAGTATCATGTAACACAGCATTGGAGGTATCCCTCCAATGCTGGCTAGAGAAGACAATGATGAGCCCTTCCTGATAAGCTCTGAAATACTACCTTAAAATTTTACCCTAAAATGCTAATTCTACTAAAGATAAGAGAGAGGACCCATCTACACTGCCATATAATCCTGTTTCATAATGCAGATTAACTGCATTGAACTCATAAAACTCAGTTCAATGCAGTTTATTCTGCATTATATGAGTCTACACTGACCATTATAATGCAGTTCAAACTGGACTATATGACAGTGTAGATAGAGCTATAAATACTTAATGCAGTTAAGACTTGTTTAAGAAAAGATTATAGCTTTACCCTTGAATGCCTGTGTTTCACAAAAGCCTTTAGGGATTGTCTTTATAACGAGTAAGTAGACACAGTGAATCAGTTATATGCCATTTGACTCAGAAGGTTACTATCCCGACATGCATTACACATTGCCAAGTCTGGGTTGCTGTAATTATTTTGGACTGTGTGGTCATGTTACAGGAGAGAATGTTTCTGGAAGATGACCATAAGCCCAAAAAACTTACAAAAACCCAGTGATTCTAAGCCATGAAAGCCTTCAACAATACATTGCCAAGTCCCTCCATGCATGTCCTGATAAACACCTAGATTGCCATATGACCTAATATAAAAATGCCTTATGGAGTTTAATGGAGCTGAAATGCAAGGTATTTAACTTGCTCTGCCAAATATTGGTGGCTTGTCAACAAACTACAACTTATGTGATTCCATAGCTCCGATCCATGTCAGTTAATGTGCTGTCAAACTGAATTAATTGTAGAGTATAGATTCAGCACAGACAAATATCTGTTAAAACAGGAAGAAAGCACCTATGGAAGCAACACATTTTAATTTCACTACCAGCTCATTGTGAAAAAACAAAACAATCCCCTAGCAGCACCGAAAGACTTTGTCATGCTATTTAACATCGTAAATGTTCAACACAGAAGCAAATTCACTATTTCCCAGGTACCTATGTTTAACAAGTTTTGGCAAATTGTGGCTCCATCTGGCCCACATGGCCATTTCGTTTGCCCCCATGGATTCCCCCGATGCCCTACAGGTAAAATAAATAATTAAATAATAGATCTGTCCAAATGTTTTTCTTTGTTGTTTTCTCCCATTTAGTGCTTTATTCAGTGGTCATTCAAGGATATTTCTGTAGCTTTTACAGGTTTAGAGGGTAAAGCTTTCAAGCTTGTCTGTTGCAGGCCAGGCATGCACTGGTATAAAGAGTACAGGAATCCTCCTTATTCAAGTATATAAGATGTACAATTAACTATGCAGGGTTTCTGGCTAATATTAGTTTGTTATTTTTTAAATTTACAGGAATTTATTAGAGTGCTTAGTGATGTGATGTTAACTTTTCCCATTAAGGGTTGGTCATGTCTAATGGACTTCCCTGGAAACAACAAAGACGATTTGCCTTGTCAACACTAAGAAACTTTGGTTTGGGCAAAAGAAGCTTAGAAGAACGAATACAGGAAGAGGGCAGGTTCCTTACAGGTGCTATTGAAAATGAGAAAGGTAACAATACATTAGCCATGCTTAAAAATTCAACGATCCTTCATTGAGGAAATGTAGCTTTTCCTGAGCTATGAGGCTATTACAGAAAATAAGTAGAAAGCTGCACTCTGGCACATACGACGTAAGGTGTATATACCTTTAGTGTATTAATAATAATAAGAAAAATTAATATGGAGCACACAAACATCCTGTAATGTTATTTAAGAATCTTGTGTGTGTGGGAGGGTGGGGGGATACTAAAAAGTTGTATCTCTGCCCATGTAGTTTTAATTTACAGATGCTGCTGGGAAAGCAAGAGTCCATTCGTAAGTATTGGTGATATTGCTCCAGCAAAGGATCACTGCCTTGTCATGGTGCAGGAGCTTGAGCATCTCAATGATGCCATGAACGAAACTGTGAAGGGACACCCAAGACGGGATGGTCATGGCAGAGAGGTCAGACCAAATGCCGATCCCTGGGGAAGGTAATGGCAACCCACCCCAGTATTTTTGCCAAGAAAACTAAATGGATCGGTACAACCAGATATATGTCGGTATGCCATTGGGAGATGGGGCCTCCAGGTCAGAAGATGGTCTAAATGCTACTGGGGAGGAGCAGAGGATAGATTCAACTAGCACCAGATGTGATGACGCAGCTAGCTCAAAGCCGAAAGGAAGGTTAGTGGCCGATGGTGCTGGAGGTAAACAACAAATCCGATGCTCTAAAGATCGACACAGCATAGGAACCTGGAATGTAAGATCTATGAGCCAGGGCAAACTGGATGTTGTTATTGGTGAGATGTCAAGACTAAAGATAGACATTCTGGGGGTCAGCGAACTGAAATGGACTGGAATAGGCCACTTCACATCAGATGACTACCAGATCTACTACTGCGGACAAGAGGAACACTGAAGAAATGGAGTAGCCTTCATAATTAATAATAAAGTCACTAAAGCAGTGCTTGGGTGTAATAAAAAAATGACAGAATGATCTCAATTCAATTTTAAGGCAAGCCATTTAATATCACAGTGATCCAAATATACGCCCCAACCACAGCTGCTGTAAAGCAGAAGTAGATCAGTTCTATGAGGATCTGCAGCACCTACTGGATAATACACCAAAAAGAGACATTATTTTCATTACATGCTAAGGTGGGTAGTAAAATGACAACTGGGATCACAGTCAAGCATGGTCTGGAACAACAAAATGAAGCAGGACATAGGCTGATAAAATTTTGCCAGGAAAGCTCACTGTGTATAACGAACACTCTCTTCCAACAACCTAAAAGAAGGCTTTATACATGGACTTCACCAGATGGTCAACACCAAAATCAGATTGACTACATCCTTTGCAGCCAAAGGTGGCAGACATCCATCAGTCAGTGAAAACAAGACCTGAGGCTGACTATAGTTCAGATCACAAACTTCTTACTGCACAATTTAGAATCAGTCTGAAGAGATCAGGGAAAACACTCAAACGAGTTAGAAATGATCTCACTAACATTTCTAGCAAATATGCAGTGGAGGTGAAGAACAGGTTTATAAATAGAGTACCAGAAGAATTATGGACAGGAGTCCACGACATTGTTCAAGCGGTGGCAACAAAGTACATCCCAAAGAAAAAGAAAACCAAGAAGGCAAGATGGTTGTCTGCTGAGACTGGAAGTAGCCCAAGAGATAAGGAAAGCAAAAGGAAACAGTGACAGGGGGAGATATACCCAATTAAACGCACAATTCCAGAGTTTTACCAGAAGAAGAAATGGAACTATGCAAGCAATGCATGGAAGTGGAAGACAACAGAATAAGAAGAACAAGAGACCTCTTCCAGAAAGTTAGAAACATTGGAGGTAAATTTCAGGCGAAAATGGGCATGATAAAAAACAAAGATAGCAAGGACCTAACAGAAGCTGAAGAGATCAAGAGAAGGTGGTGAGACTATACAGAAGATCTGTATAGGAAGGATAATATTATCAAGGATAGTTTTGATGGTGTGGTGAGTGAATTAGAATCAGACATCCTGAGGGGTGAGGTTGAATGGGCCTTAAGAAACATTGCTAATAACAAGGCAGCAGGAGACAACAGGATTCCAACTGAACTGTTTGAAATCTTGAAAGATAATGCTGTCAAGGTGATGCATGCCATATACGAGCAAATATGGAAAACACAAGAATGGCCATCAGACTGGAAAAATCAACTTACATCCCCATACCAAAAAGACTGCTCAAATTTTCGTACAGTGAAACTTATTTCACATGCCAATGAGGGAATGCTCAAGATCCTGCAAGACACCAGCAGCACATGGAGAAAGAGCTGTCAGATGTACAAGCTGGGTTTAGAAAAGGCAGAGGAACGAGAGACCAAATTGCCAATATCAGCTGGATAATGGAGAAAGGCAGGGAGTTTCAGAAAAACATCTGTTTTATTTACTAGTCTAAAGCCTTTGACTGTGTGGATTATAATAAATTGTGGCAAGTTCTTGGTGGTATGGGGATACCAAATCACCTTTTCTGTCTCCTGATGAAGACCAGGTAGCAACAGTAAGAACTGACCATGGAATAACAGACTGGTCCAGGATTGGGAAATGCGTATGGCAGGGTTGTATACTCTCACCCAACCTATTCAACTTGTATGCAGAACACATCATGTGATGTGCGGGGCTTGACGAATCCAAGGGTGGGGAGAAAATTGCTGGAAGAAACATTAGCAACCTTAGGTATACAGATGACACCACTTTGATGGCCATAAGCGAGGTGGAGCTGAGGAGCCTTCTAATCAAGGTGAAAGAAGAAAGTGCAAAAGTTGGGTTGCAGTTAAACATAAAAAACACCAAGATTATGGCAACAAGAATGATTGACAACTGGGAAATAGAGGGAGAAAATGTGGAGGAAGTGACAGACTTTGTATTTCTAGGTGCAAAGATTATTGCAGATGCAGACTGCAGCCAGGAAATCAGAAAACGTTTACTTCTTGAGAGGAGAGCAATGACCAATCTCGATAAAATAGTGAAGAGTAGAGACATCACACTGGCAAGGAAGATCCACATAGTTAAAGCAATGGTATTCCCCATAGTAACTTATGAATGTGAGAGCTGGACCATAAGGAAGGCTGAGCGAAGGAAGATAGATGCTTTTGAACTGTGGTATTAGAGGAAATTTCTGAGAGTTCCTTGGACTGCAAGAAGATCCAACCAGTCCATACTTCAGGAAATAAAGCCCAACTGCCACATCGGAGGGAAGGATAGTAGAGGCAAAGTTGAAGCACTTTGGTCACCTAATGAGAAAGCTTAGAGAAGACAATAATGCTGGGGAAAATGGAAGGAAAAGGGAAGAGGGGCTGACCAAGGGCAAGATGGATGGATGCTATCCTTGAAGTGACTGGCTTGACTCTGAAGGAGCTGGGGGTGGTGATGGCCGACGGGGCTCTGGCATGGGCTGGTCCATGAGATCACAAAGAGTTGGAAGTGACTGAAGGAATAAACAACAACAAGAAGAAGATATTCCTCATTGAAAGCATCTGCTGCTTTGGCACAATCCCTGTACAAATTCTATCAGAATTGTTATGCTATTGTGTGACTTCTTCTCATTTCTGACGTACAGCTGCCCTAAGGTAAACTTATTGTCAGGTTTTCTTGTCCTTTGACATCCTCTAAGGATGAGAAAATGTGACTTTCCCAACATCATCCATGGCTTCCATGGCTGAGCAGAGATTTGAACGCTGTCTCTGAATCCAATATTCAAACCGCTACACCACAAAGGCCTTCAATAAAGAGATTTGCTTGAGAATAATATTCTGGAGAATGTCCTGCCCACAAACATATACTGGTTCTCAGGAGTCTGTCCTACAATGCTTCCAGGACGGAACCCTGCCGAAAGTAGCCCTGTGTCATGTGAGGGCCCTGTTGGGCTCCGTCCTCATATGATGAGGTCCTTAGAAGTGTGAATTTAAATTATGTACTAGTAGTAGTTCATGTGAGTGTGTGTTGTATGTTGTTTTTAATTTAATTTAGTATTTTTTTGTAATTTTTAAAATTATGTTTACATAATATTTTTATGTAATTCTTTCTAAACTTTTCTAAAATAAAATTTTAATTTAATCTTATTTGAAATTGCTAGAAGTCATCCTGGTACCTATTTCAGGTCATGGACAGGGTATACATGGGATAAAAATAAAAAGTTAAGGAATGGCAGTAGGGTTTCAAGCATAGGCAGACCACTGATTCACAAATCAACACAACTGTGCTAATGAAGAGAGGTGTTATATCAAGGTTGCTCAATATTGTATATATCCACTATCAATGAAAATGAGACTGAAATAGAATAGCAGCTTCATGTAATAAACCCGAGTTTGTATAAACTCAGGTAAAAATATAGAAATGTTATTCAAATATTGACTCAAAAAGTCTGAGTTACAACTCAGTGTATGTACTGTACCTTAGCTTTTGTCAAAAGGAATCATCTCATGGCTTGGCCTTGAGAGAACCCAAAGTACATTTCCTTTTACTCTCTCTGCCACTGAGCAATTTCTGGCAATGTTCAATACCTGGGGAAAAGACCAGTTGCCGCTGTGGTGATGACTCTTTCTCTTCATCCCAGAATGACCCCCAACTCATCCACAAGTCATAGCGAAATCCATAATTCTGGGCCAAAAGCCATCCTCACTTACACATAAGGTTAATTTATGTATGGAAGTTGTTTTTGCAGAAATATATCAACACTGCAACCTCACACTGCTAGTTAAAATGCATTTACTCATGCTTGTTTCAATATAAAATTTCCCCATGTTTTCTGATTATTTTTGTAGCATAAAAGCTGTAATTATTCAAATTCTTCCTCTGCCAACATTGTTTTTCTTTCCAGGGCAGCCATTTGACCCCCACTATCAAATTAACAATGCTGTTTCAAATGTCATTTGTTCTGTCACTTTTGGGAACCGCTTTGATTACCATGACAGTCAGTTCCAGAAGTTGTTGCATTTGATTAATGAAACAGGAGTCCTCCAGCGAAGTATTTGGGTCCAGGTAAGGCCTGCTTGTGATCTTATGGGAAGCAAGGGTCAAAACTGTCTGCTTCTGGATAAGATTTTGTAATCCCAAACACTCTTCATTTGTTTTGATTTGGGTGCAGTGTGCCTGGATGGAAATTGTATTGCATTGCATTGCATTGCATGCCCCCTTTCTCCTGAAGTGGAGCATGAAGAAGATCAGAAATGAAGGAGGGAGGGAGAAAATTCCAACCTTACAATTCTGTTCTGAAAACTATTAAAATCCTCAGTCTGAAATTATTTTAAAACATATAAAATGTTGAAAAAATAAAGGAAAACATCTTTGCAACCTCCCTTTTTATACATTAAAGTCTTCTGAAGCAAAGGCGTCTTAGCCTGCCAGCAACAGGAAAACAGGTAGGATGGAAAGGTGTTTGAAAGGGCAGGAGTCACCATGAGAAGGTTCCCTGCAGATTTTACCCATGTAATTTAAGAGACTAGCAAATTCACATAGGAAGGTACACTCTTTTGGATAATCTGGATTTAAGCCATATAGGGCTTTATAGGTCATAGTGCACTTTAAATTGTGCTCAGAAATGAACCAGTAGCCAGTGAATCTGTATTAATAAGGCACTTGTTAAATGTTCTTTTTGAGATATGGTGTTGGTGTCTGTATTAATGTAAGCAAATAGATATTTATTACAATTGTATGGAAGTATGGCTATGAAATTGATGTGTGTGATTTTGATGATATATAAAAAGGGCAAGGGGAAAGCAGGACAAACAGAGAAACTGTCTTATTTCATTCCCTACCATCTTTCCCTGCCTTCTGTGATGGTCGGCCTTCCCACGTCATTTCTGGTTGATGGGGCTCTCATCACGAGGGAATGAGAGAGAGGGCCTTCTCTGTGATTGCTCCTTGGCTCTGGAACTCCCTTCCTAAAGAATTAAAAAATGACCCCTCCCTCCTCTCCTTTAAAACTTCTAGAAACATACCATTTGCACTTTAGTTTATGGAGAGGAGGACTAATTACACTTTATATACACCCCACCTGTTTTGTTGAACATCTACCTTTGTTAATCTGCTGTGTACCATCTTGCTATTTCATCACACTAGAGAACAAATCCACTTTAAATCCGATTTCTGCCTCCTGTTGAATTCTGGGGTTTGTATTTTATGAGGCTGTTAAAGGCTTCTCCCTAAACTACAAAACCCAAAATTCTCTAGGAGGCAGCAACCGGATTTAAAGTGGATTCATTCTCTAGTGCGATGAGGTCCATGATTAGTCCTAATAAATTTAGTTGAATTTTAAGGATTTTTAAAGATTTAAAATGTTAAAACTGTGATCATATTATGTCTTGTTTATTTAAGCTGTTTTTGATTGGTTATTTGTACTTCTGGCACTGAATGTTTGCCAATATGTTTTATTTGCTGTAAGCCACCCTGAGTCCCCCTTGGGGAGAAAAGGCAGGCTATAAATAAAGATGATGATGATTATAATGATGATGATGATGATGATGATGATTATATCCCCACTTCCTCCCCAATTTCTGCAGTTAAGAATGGGATGCTACTCCAATCCTGACTTGAATCCCTACTCTGCTATGTTTGCAAGTCAGGTGCTACCCGACTTCTGAAAACTGAGTTTTCTCTCAATTTTCACATGCTGCTAACATGGATGCCCTATTAAATTGCACTCATCCACAGTATTAATAGTGTTAAAATTATTTTTCATTTGTAGTCACTAGAGGAGGGTGAGGCTTTGGAGCTCCCTTGGCCCTTGCCTGCCTCCTTCCCCAGGCCAGGCTTCTCCCAGCATTAGGATGGGGCCACGCCTCTCCTGATGCCAAAAGAAGGGAGGGGAGGTGGTGGGTGAGTGGGCTTTCTCCTGGGCTGGTCTTTTCTCATCATTAGGACAGGCCCTCGCCTCACCACTATCTCCTTCCCTGGGCCAGGCTTCTCCCAACATCAGGACAGGGCTGCTCACCCCACCATTATGATGGGAGGAGGGCCCGAGGAAGGAATGTGGTGGACTGAGAGCACTCCAGGGGGATCCCAGCCACTGCAGGTCTTCCTCCCTTGTCCTTGTGGCATAGGGACATGGCAAACCATGGATGGAAAAAATTTGGAGGGCTGGGTGTAAGCATCCAGAGGGTCGTGTTTGCTTATGCCTGCTCTGGGGTCAGGGCTTCCCAGTTCTTGATGTTTATTCAACATTTTTAGATTAGTTTTAAGCCTATCTTTAAATCTCTTTTGTTGTCTACCAACATCCCATTTTCCATTTTTTGAGCTGCTTTTAGGGACAGTGATTGGACTTTTAGACAACATGGCCAGTCCAGCTAAATTGATGGCAGAGAATCATCACTTCATTGCTGGTTTGCTCCTTCCAGAATGCTGATATTTGTTGGCCTGCCTTCCCAAGAGATTTGCAAGATTTTTCAAAGGCAACATTGATGGAATAGTTCTAGAAATGGAGAGTGATGTTTGTAGATGGTCCATGTTTTGAAAGTATACAACAGAATTGGGAGAACAATAGTTCTGTAATCAATCAAAATACTGCACTCACAGAGCTCAGACAGTGTTATATTTCAGCATAGATGTCGATTTTTGTGGAAAGATGGCTGCCTAGGTAGCAGAAATTTTCTGGCATTACACCATTACGTTTTATTTCTGGACTCCCACATGCAACCACTGGAAACAGTCCTGCTTCATTTGATGGGGTCCATGACAGCCCATCTTTCAAATGTGTAGAAATGGAAGAGGAAAACAACCTGATATAGTCTCTACTGGCTGCTAATTCCATTGCAACTGACTATACAACTGCAATCAAATATTCTCCAGAGGTTTCCTTATTTTCTCTCCTGCCCATCATCTAATTTTTGTTTTTGTCTTCCAGCTGTACAATATTTTTCCAGCTCTCATGAAGCAATTGCCCGGACCCCATCAAACTATTTTCAGAAACCAGGAACAATTTAAAAACTTTGTGAGAAAAATAATAAAAAAGCACCAAGAAAACTGGAATCCACTTGAAACAAGAGATTTCATTGATGCTTACTTAAATGAAATGGCCAAGGTAATAATATATATATTTTTTTAAAAATTAATTTCTTCATACAGATAACAAAACAATACAATCTAAAAGATAACATCAAAAACTGTTTAATATTTTGGGTGATTCCTAGTTCTTTCGATGTTAGATTCTTATGGAGAATTTCTGTTTACCTAAGTTAATTTCAAGCTCTGAGATTTCCCCAAATTCCTTTATTAATTTGACCAGTGAACTTAGCGACTTTTTCACCTCACTTAAAATTATCATGGCGTCATCCGCATAAAGGTTTATTTTTCTTTCTTATTTGCCCGCCTTGTATCCTTTCATAGTTTGGTCCTGTCTAATTAAATTTGCTAAAGGTTCAATGGTCAATGCAAATAATAATGGGGAGAGTGGGCATCCTTGTTTAGTTCCACTCTTAATATTAATTTGTCTCGAATGGAGCCCCTGGTGGCGCAGTGGGTTAAAGCCCTGTGCCGGCAGGACTGAAGACCGACAGGTCACAGGTTCGAATCCGGGGAGAGGTGGATGAGCTCCCTCTATCAGCTCCAGCTCCTCATGCGGGGACATGAGAGAAGCCTCCCACAAGGATGATAAAACATCAAATCATCCGGGCGTCCCCTGGGCAACGTCCTTACAGACGGCCAATTCTCTCACAACAGGAGCGACTTGCAGTTTCTCAGGTCGCTCCTGACACACACAAAAAAAATTGTCTCGAATCAAACCCATTTACATTTATGACTGCCTTATTTCCGCTGTATATCTCTTTTATTACTTTGCATATTTTTCCCCCATTCCACTTGCCTCACATATTTTATTCAGATATTTATGGTTTATTGAGTCAAATGCTTTACGAAAGTCAAACTTTACTATAAGCAGTTTGGATCTATTAACTGTGGCGTGATTTAGAGTGTTTAGAATGATCCTGATAGGGTGGGCAAGACAAATTCACTTCTTAACTTTTAGGTGAAGGTGGACAGACACACAATCTAAGACACTTCAAATATCAATGCTATTTTAATGCCTTCCAAGTTGAGTCTTTAAAATCACATAGTATGAGGGTATAAGAGGGATGGAAATATATGTACAGTGCATGCACATGAAAACATATCATCTAGAGAGCTGCATTGTTTATGTGGTGCCAATTGTCCACCACTAATATATCATCATTCGGCTATTATGTTTCAGAATCAACAATTTGGGAACAGAGCTGGGAACCTTTGGCCTGCATAAGAATTTCCATCATCTCTTAGCATTTGCCATGCTGCCAAAGGCTTCTGGGAATAGAAGTCCAAAACAGCTGGGTGTTTTATGTAATCTGCACTCACATGTGTTTTAAAATACCTTCTCTAAGCCTTGAAGTCCCTATGTTCATTCTTATTTCAATCTTCCATAATTACCAAATTTGATTTGATCCTAAGCTTTCTTTAGGAAGAGAGAAATTACAGAGATTGGAAAACATGTGACAAATTGACAGATACCACTGAGAGTAAAATAATGATTTCACTTAACATTCAGATATTTAGATATTCCTTCTTACTTTCCTTTTAAGGAAGATGTTTCTTCCAGTTTCCATGAGGAAAATCTTCTACAGTCAGCAATAGATTTGTTTATTGCTGGAACAGAAACAACATCTACAACCTTGCGCTGGGCTTTGCTGTACATGGCTATTTATCCAGAAATTCAGGGTAAGATTGGATTTTTTTTCTGTCCCAATCTACATCTTACTTTGTAAAAAGAGCTAATAGTCCTCAATTTCCAGGCTGTTGTGATAACTGAATGCCACTTTAAAGAGCTTTCTTATAGTGACTCAGGAGGGACAGGATAATCTGAAAGAAAGATAAGTGAATTTAGTTTCATGGTTAATCTTGGGTTATTTCTCAAGCAATATAAAGAATGTCTTAAGCATTTCGCTGCAAAATTTTATTGTTCTTGCTTTTCACCCCTCTACACAGAGAAGGGGAAGGTTCTTATCTTGACAAGAGCTTATACATGAGTATATAGGGTATGTGTTTTACTCAGACCAATAAAATATGCATGGTGTAGCTCCAGCACTCTTGACACTGTCCTATATTTCTCGGGGAAATCAATGCTTGCCACAATGTTCATGTTGACTTTTTTGAACTGACAGTAAATATTATTTTTAGGAAGAGTTCAGTCAGAAATAGACTCTGTGATTGGCCAGTCTCGCCCCCCAGCTATGGCTGACAAGGACAACCTGCCTTACACAAATGCAGTTATTCATGAAATTCAAAGAATAAGTAACATCCTGCCTTTAAATGTTCCTCGACTGGCAACTAATAATACAGAGATAGCTGGATTTCATGTGCCCAAGGTAAAGAAATGTATCTGCTATATCTTTGTTTCCCTTCCCATTTCCCTTTCCCAGAAACTAAGCCTAGTTTTAATACTGAATTACATCACACAACTTGTCAGTGATGAGGATAGTTCCATTGTGTTGGTCAAATCATAAGTTAGAGCCATCTTGGGGGCTGAAGCCCCACTGCAGGCATCAGACAGTGTTGCCTGTGGCTCTGTGCCCAAGATCACTACTGCTGGAGTCCTCCCGGAGCATAGAAATGACATGTCAGGAGGTGGGGGAGAGAGAGAGAAAATTGGTCTTTGCCTCTCACTGCACCCCTATCCCCTTTCTTTGGCATGTCATTTCTATGCACCAGAAGGACTCTAGTAATATATTAATGGCAGCTGGGTAAGTTTTTCTTACTTTAAAGGACTTATTTTTAGAGGCTTTGGGGTGGTTCCATGCCATCCCTTTAGTTAATGGGATAACACGGGGACATCCCCACCAAGAAATTCCTGGTTTTGGAGGGTGGAGATGGGGATTCAAATCCACACCAAATTGGGTTGTAAAAACCCGCTTTGGCACAGATTTGAGTGTTGTCTGGAAGCACCTTCTGACTCCCTTACCACTCCACTGGTTTTCTTGAGGCTGAGAATGGCTGATAAATCAAAAAAATCATAATCATAAAAATGTTTATTTATACCCAACTTTATATCTCCTGAAGGAGACTCAAAGTGAATTACAATTAAAAGTATGACCACATAATTTAAAATATGCAAATATGCAAGCATTTGGAGCCCTCGATGGTGCAGTGGGTTAAAGCACTGAACTGCCGAACTTGTTGACCGAAAGGTCACAGGTTCAAATCCGGGGAGCGGCGTGAGCACCTGCTGTTAGCCCCAGCTTCTGCAACCTAGCAGTTCAAAAACATGCAACTGTGAGTAGATTAATACGTACCGCTCCGGCGGGAAGGTAACGGCACTCCTTGCAGTCATGCCGGCCACATGACCTAGGAGGTATCTACGGACAACACCGGCTCTTCGGCTTAAAAATGGAGATGAGCACCACACCCCAGAATCAGATATGACTGGATTTCATGGCAGAGGAAAACCTTTACCTAACCTTATGCAAGCATTAAAACAGAATTAAGCATGAAAACAGAATTAGACAAAACAGTATTGAAATTCGTATGTTTAAATCCATTAAAACATATACAAAGGTAAACATCATAGCACCCCCTTACTTTTAGTGTGCTGCCGGAGGGACAGCAGGGAAGGGGCCATCCGGGCTTCCCTGGGTAGAGAGTTCCAGAGTCATGGGGCAGCCACCAAGAAGGCCCGCTCTCTTGTTCCCACCAACCGAGCCTGAGATAGAAGTGGGCCCGATAGAAGGGCCTCTCTTGATGATCTCAGGACCCGGGCAGGTTCATACAAGGGGATGCGGTCAGCCAAATAGCCTGGACCTGAACCATCTTGGGCTTTAAAGTTCATAGCCAGCTTCACCTCATGAATTTCAAAAAATAGTGGAGACCTGGGTATGGCTCTCTCAAACCCCTCTCTGACTTTCTAACCATTTCACAGGTTCTCCTGCAAACTTTTTATAATGGGCTGTATCAATGGAAAGTCTGTGACTTATCCCCCCATCCAGAAGATATGTTTTGTCTATGTGTTGGAGAAACAGATTTACTTTCACGTTTAGAAGGCTTGTTGTATTGTAAACTCAATGTTTTATGTTTTCCTTTACAGGGAACTATTTTAATCTGCGACATGACATCAGTGCTGTTTGACAAAGATGAATGGGACACCCCCAAAAAGTTTAATCCCAATCATTTCTTGAGTAATGGCCAATTCAGGCTTAAGGAAGCCTTCATACCATTCTCTGCAGGTAAGAGTAGGGGAAGGAATATCAACATATTTTTCAAAAGTTCTGCCTGCTTACTTTTCAATAAAAAGAAAAATTCATGTGAGGCTTGAAGGTTCCATCCTACATCTTTCCCAGATTATGCTAAGTGGCTTGAAAGTTAAGATTTATTTGCTTTGGAAAAGAAATAAATTTGTGTATCTTTGCTTGGCACATACTGGCACACAATCGTCAGAAACATTCTACAAAATACACATTATAAAATGTATTTCTACAAAACACATATTAAAACACTAAGAACAAAGATTAAACATGTTGCAAGTTTAAAATCCATGATTAAAACTGGCTGGGTAGACCAGCCAGAAGAGATAGGGTTTTAGATGGTTTTTAAATTCCGAGAACTCATTTAGCTGTTAGAGCTCTTCAAGCAGTCTTAGGGTAGCTGATGAAAAGGTCCTCTGAGTGATGGTTGCCAGATGGGTTCTTGCAGGCTAAAGTAGACATCCCCCTCAGTGTTTGGGGAGGATTATAGGGAACCTATAGATAACCTGGACTCAAACCATGTAGGGCTTTATACCTTATACTTTGCCTGGAAACTAATAGATCAACAAGTGTGCACAAGTGATATTTTGTGCATCATGTTGGCCACATTCATCATGTGTATCAGATGCATATTTGCAAATCCAATAGCATTGTCTTCTGCAGCCTTGCTGTTATTTGAGTATTCTGCATGAGACAAAAATGGCTAGCTTTATCAATTGAGGAATACTTTCTATAAAAAGACTTAGTTGATTAACAGAGGGAACCCAAAAATCTTTCTGCAGGGCCACCAGAATGTAAAGAACTGATGATTGAATGGGCTTCCACCAAAATTAAAATGGTTGTTTGAGATTTAAACGGAGTGTGCTGAAAGTACATTGAAATTGTTTGAATTCGAACTCGGGGCACAGTAACATGGAGGGTATAAATTCCAATGTCTTTCTAATAGTGCTGCCACCAATTATAAAATATTCTTCCCCAGTCTTGATATGGGTATTCTTGGCCAGAGAGACACACAGGAGCACTGGTTGTTTTAACAATAAAGAAAGATGTTTATTTGTATTTTCAGAACAGGCAATAAATTGTAATGGTTGCAGAGATGTATGGAGCTTAATGGTTACGTGGCATAGTTCAATGCTTAAAACTTCAGGTTACAAATTAACTTTCCAAGTTCACAGGAATCTAGTAGACTACTGCTAACTAGAATCTAGTCTTCAAACAGACTTTTCCCGGGTCTGTTCTAACCTATTATCAAACTACTTTTCCTCCACAACTGCTTACTGAACTTCACTAACTAACTCCTGGCTTCAATGCTTCCAACCACTCTCTCTCACTCCCTTCCTCCAACTCTACTATTCCCCAACTGACACTTTCCAACTGTCAGAATTCAAAAATTCCACTGGTTCGTTTTTTTTCTACACTCGACCAAGCTCAGCTCACTTTCTCTCAGGTAATCAAAATGGTTCTCCACATTTCCCTGGGCTGCCTTCAAGCTCCGCCCCTTTTTAGAAATGTCTCTAACCTAAAATGGCTGCCTCCAACTTCCATACAAAATGGATGCCAGCTATTGGGCCTATTTCTGAGCTAACCCTGGTCTTCTAAGGTATGGAAATTCATTACACATGCCATGCATAAGACACCAAGAGGATTCTAGCCATATTTCTGCAATACAAATATGGAATCTGGGCTGAAATGCTATTGTTACTCTCAACAAGAGTAGAACATTGGGTAAAAATCTTTGTTTCCCATGAAATTTAAAGATATTTTAAAGGTATTTTGCTCTGGTTTACAATAGTGACTTGCCAAATTTGTTGATGTCACCTCAACATCTCATAAGTTTTCTGTGTCCATTTTTTCTTCTCTTCCAGGAAAGAGAGCCTGCCTTGGAGAACGGTTGGCTCGGATGGAACTTTTCCTTTTCTTCACTGCCTTGGTTCAGAAGTTCTCTTTCCAGGCTCCAAAAGGCGTGAAGCTAAGTCTTGACTTCAAGATGAACATTACACTGAGCCCAAACGAATACCATATATGTGCCATCTCGCGTTAAAAGTATTCCATATTGCTGTCAAAATATGTAGGGTTAGGCTATAATAACAGGGCTATTAGACCCTGTAGAATTAACACAAATTAACTTTCTTTAGAATGCAAATATTTTATTAAACTTACCAACAATTTTAAGTCTTTGTTGTTGTTTTTGGTCTACAAATACTACACAAAGGTTTCCTGGTCATGCTGTCTCTTCAGAAGATTTTTCAGACTTGGGCCTTCCTATTAATAGCACTCTGAACTCCACCAAAGATGGAATTGGACCAGACTTGGCACACAGAGCCCCCATGATCAGTCAAAAATACTGGAGCTCTTTGGGGAAAAATTCACCTTGATTTGGGTGAGTTGTAGTTCACCTACACCCAGAGAGCTCTGTGAACCCTCACAGATGGATGAGGACCAAACTAGGCACACATACCTGATATGTTGAAATTTGATTACTGGAGAGGTTTGGGGGGAACTGACCTTTCTGGGAGTTGTAGTTCACCCAAAACCAGAGAAACTGTGACTTTCAACAATGATGGACCTGGTTTGAACTTGGCACACAGAATTCCCATGACTAACTCAACCTACTGGAGGGGTTTGAGGGGACTGACTTACCATAGTGGGAGTTGTAGTTTACCCTACAGTCAGAGAGCATACTGAAACCCACCAATGCAGCATTTACAGCAAACTTACCCAACATAGCCAACTTTAAGTACATATAGTAGTATACAGTAAAGACAATAGAAAAGAGGAAGAGCTCATCACAGGAAGATTGGCACAGTCAAGGAAGCCATGCCCCTGAGTTTGCAATACCTGAACAGGGCTATAAGTAAAAGGATATCTAATTAGCAGGGCTGCCATGAAGCAAAGCTGATTTGACAGCACATAATAACAACTCCAAATGTATTTTCCCCAAGCTGTGCATAGCACAGCATGTCATCTGGGCTCTGTATGAGCCGATAACATTGAAAACAAATCAATGACATAACATCACACAATGACGCAATTAAAATCAATGGCAGGGCCAAATGTAATAATTAAGGATAAAAATGTGCTGGGCGTGACCAGGTGGAGTGTTTGGAGGGGGATGGGCAAGCAGATATCCTAGATCTCTGATAAAGTGCGTTGGGACATAATGCTAGGAGTTTCCTTATTCTGGGAAGGCACACTGGAACAACCACGTTTTCAAGCTCCTCCTAAAGATTGCTAAAAAACAAACACAATGAAAGTACGCTTTATTCTCATTTTCTGGAAAGAGGACATACATTTATCAATGTCAAGTTTTTCATTATAGAAAAAATCCACACTAAGCCACACATGGAATTAAGCCACTAAGAATTATCTTTTGCAAAGGGAAGCTTTCTGGATTTTTAAGTTAAATACAGTGTTTCCTACTGGTCTTAATGATAGACTGGATCTCAACTGTTTTTTGTAATAAGCCCCATTATCCACCTTATCTGCTTGGAATTTACATTTCAGCTGACTGTCTGCAATTAGCCCTACCTTTAAATCCTCACTTCTGTGTTCTTGCATTGCTCACTATCGAAAACTAAACTGCAGGGCCAGCTTCATACTGTAGATAATATAAGTAATAACATGCATGTAATCTATCTTATTGGAATGTATATAATTACTTAATTGGGCTGATATGAGCGGGGTATAAATAATGCAAATAAATAAATAAGTATTGAATGTTTGCTTTGGGTGCCTTTTTTGGCATATCTATTATGTTGTTTGCCCCATTTAGGGATTTATTGTGAAGTCCCTCGAAACAAGGCATCTCAACCCGGGGATCCTTGTCGGACAGTATTTTGAACTATATGGACATTATTTTGGACTTCAGTTTACTTTCTCAAGGACTACTCCAGTGTTCAATTCATCACTTCAAAGACTGTATAAATATTTTCTTAATACTTACTATTTGTTGTGAGAGTTAAAACAAAAGAGTGAAGATGCTCACTACCATCACAAGAAAAAGGAATATATATCATTTGTAAGAGTGAATGTATAACTCTCAAGTCCGAGAAAACTCTAGAGGGAAATTACTTAGTAGCATTTAGACTTATACCCTATGCATTTTCTTTGTTATATTTATGTGCAGTTTAAACCAATTTACACAGTTAATGTTAACATAGCTCTGTGCGGATAACAGTTTACAACTTGCGTTTTGCTTTCTCCATTACACAGAAGAAAGTTTCAGTGCCCTGCTTCCCCCCCCCCCCCCACCACCACCACCACCACCATGCCAATTGGATCTAATGAGGACACGGGAAGCCTCCTATGTTCTCTAGGCAGCATCCTAGGATGCTTCCAGAACCCCACTGGAGGTGTCCATGTATCGTATGATGAGCTCCACCAAGCTCCATCTTAGAAGTGTTCTAGGTTGCTTTCCGAAGTCAATGTGATGAGATCAGGCATGTAGCCGGGGGGGGGGGGAGGGGCTTCACCCCCCCCCCCGAAATTCTCATGGTTCGCGAAAAGGCCTTACTGGTGCATTATTTAAACTGTTATGTTTATTCATATCATGATCTGATCACCATACTCAATATATCCCATATGCATGGGGGTATTGGGGTAATGATACAAAAGGTTTGCTAGGCTAGACCCTCTTTCACTCAGACTCAGCCCCCCCCGCCCCCCCCCCCCCCCCCCCCCCCCGAAAAAAATTCAGCCCCGCCCGAAATGAAATCCTGGCTACGGTCCTGGATGAGATCCTTACTAGGAATCAAGTTCTACTGAATTTAGTAGGACTGACATATGAGGAGACCTGGATAGGCCCACACTGTGATATAACAGCAACAAGAATAGCTGGATGGAAGTAATACTTCAGTTTAATAAACCACATATTTTAGTTCAGTTTTAATAAAATGCAAAATCTGAACTCTAGCTTCAGGGAAGAAGAGCAACTCTTCGTGATCCAAACTGTTGTCTGCAGTTGTAAAGCAAAATTCCCACATTTCATAATACAGTAGGACAAAAATTATCTGTAAGTGAGATTTCACAACTGATACTTCAGGAGTGTGATTTAATGTTAACAATAATCTTGTAAAAAGGTCAATCTGGAATACCAGTTAATCATTAATATTTGTTATTATTTCTTGGAAATTACAAGAAGAATACTTGCAGATTTCATATTGGAGAGATTAACTCATAGAAGTAACTGGTTGCAAATACACAATATAGCACCTGTATCCATGTTTGTGGGCCTCACTAGGTTGTCAAGTTTGATACTTTGAGATCGTCCGGGGAGGCCCTGCTCTCGATCCCGCCTGCCTCACAGGCACGCCTGGCGGGGACGAAAGACAGGGCCCTCTCGGTGGTGGCTCCTTGACTGTGGAACACCCTTCCCGTGGACATCAGACTGGCTCCTTCCTTGATGATATTCCACAGGAAATTAAAGACTTCGCTGTTCAAGAAGGCGTTTGAACAAGAAGTGCAATAATTGGTAATGACGACAGGAATGGAACAATGGAAAATGATACTGGATTGTGGTTTAACGATGAGACGACGTGAATGGCTTTTTGTATTACTGATTTTGTTGATGTTTCTGATGATGATGTCTTGGTTATTGCTAGATTGATATTTTAGATTGTGTCTTGAATTTGAACCTTGTTCTCTCTATGTTGTACACCGCTGTGAGTCGCCCCCGGGCTGAGAACAGCGGTCTATAAGCAAAGTAAATAAATAAATACTGTGTTATGCTTCCTGTCCAATGCAGTGAAAATTGGTAGGTTACATACCTGTGACCATCTTTCTTCGAGTGGTGCTCTGTGAATTCACACATATGGAGTTACTGCGCCTGCGCAGGACTGATCGGAAACTTCTCAAGTTATACTTTTGAATTTTGGCGGTATGCCCGCCCACTCCTCCCAAGGGCATAAAGGGCCCCCTGGCCGTACGCTCCCTAGTTCGTTCGCCGCAGAAGCAGCGAGAAGGGGGGAGGTTTGCATAAGAGGGGAGGAACGGGCGGGTTTGTGTGAATTCACAGAGCACCACTCGAAGAAAGATGGTCACAGGTATGTAACCTACCATTTTTCTTCGTGGTGTCTGTGAATACACACATATGGAGACTAGCAAGCTAAGGTCCAGGTAGGCGGGAAACATGCAAACTGACACCCGAGCCATAAGGCAGTGATCTTTACCCTGGCTAGGGAGAGAAAGAAACTCCAACAGGAGTAGGTGTCGGTAAGAAGACCTGGAGACGAAGCAATCTGATAAGTTGGACCTGTGTAAGGTCACAACAAAGACAACAGATTCAGCAACGAAGATATAATGTTCGGTGGCGTAGAAGGCCAGCGCAATGAACATGGGTGAACACACCCTCAGTAGAAGCATCACAGTTTGGGTGACCTGAAGTCTGGAAGACATTTGGTGACCGGGGATGGGGTGGGGGGTCTCCTTTTTTCTCTCCGTGCTGTAGTTATTCAGTGTATTTATTTGTGTATTTATTTCATGAAAAAATAAATGTATGTTGGAGGAAAAAAGGCTGAGTGCGAGCACAGTCTTTATTATTATTGTAATCATTTTGTATCTGAGTGCTTGAGCTGTCAGGCCAGGCAAACACGGGAGATAAAAGAGAGAGAAAGAAACCAGCGTCTGTAGTGTAATATTGGATGCGATCCCGAGTTCAGCCAGCAACGGGACCTAGAGGTCACTGGTGCTGGGTGGACTAGTCATCCTAGACACGGTATCGAGCTGAGGACCAAGGGGTAAGAACAATGGCATTGAGAGACCCGTCACGGGAATAGATTGATGCGAGGTTGAGGGATAGGCTGGTTGGTAGGGAAACTGTATGGCCCACACAACGCGGTGGGACAGAGGTGCGGGTATCAGGTGTGAGAGACTGGTTTAGCATGGGGTAGACACATTCTCCGGGACCTTTACGACCTTTTTATTAATTATTATTATAATTATTATTATCTTGAATGCAATAGCATAGAAAGTGGCGTCTTCCCAACATATAGGAAGAGAAGCCATAGGAAGAGAAGCCGGTTCCATTATGGTGAGGCAGATAATTTGAAAGGTAGCCAGGATTGGAAAAACCCGGCTGATTCAGGTAAATCGATATCACCTTCCGAGAGGGAGGTCATATTGCTCCCGAGGAGAGCTCTATCTCGACGAATACCGATGTAAGGTTTATCCCTCCA